CCTCTGGTAACTGTACCAGCTCCTGTACCAACTCCTCTGGTAACTGTACCAGCTCCTGTACCAACTCCTCTGGTAACTGTACCAGCTCCTGTACCAACTCCTCTGGTAACTGTACCAGCTCCTGTACCAACTCCTCTGGTAACTGTACCAGCTCCTGTACCAACTCCTCTGGTAACTGTACCAGCTCCTGTACCAACTCCTCTGGTAACTGTACCAGCTCCTGTACCAACTCCTCTGGTAACTGTACCAGCTCCTCTGGTAACTGTACCAGCTCCTCTGGTAACTGTACCAACTCCTCTGGTAACTGTACCAACTCCTCTGGTAACTGTACCAACTCCTCTGGTAACTGTACCAACTCCTCTGGTAACTGTACCAACTCCTCTGGTAACTGTACCAGCTCCTGTACCAACTGTTTAATCAGCTTCCATTTACATCTAAATGTATTTTCACTGCAAGACCAAACAGCAGACTACGTTACAGCGAGCCTTGATCTAGCACAAATGTCTCTCAACAGTCACACTAGGAAATAATATATGTAACAAATATATGTAAAAATTTATATGTAAAAAATTATATGTAAAAATATATACCGTCAAACACCGGAAACCAAGACATGCTGCCACGTTAGGCCTACTATCCATGTCCCGAGGCCTAACCAATCCCCCCCCCATCGATGAACGAACCTGGATTCTGAATGTTAAGCATTTGGTCTATTGAACTACATCATTCCCACTAGATTAACGACCCATTGGGAAAATGAAGTGTTAACGAGAGGAGGGTCTGTATATATATTAAAACACCCTCACCAGAAAATTATACATATTCCACTATGCATAATTACTACAACTGCCTTACATGTGACTATCAGATACACACATGTGGCTAACAGATACATGTTTTCTCTCCCTGAACTGAGCAGTTTCGAAGCTCTTGTCAGCTCAAACTACGTCAAATCGAACAACTTTGTTAAAATGTTGGCACAAAACAGTTTTACAACGCTTCAAACATCTTGTATATATATGGCAATTAACATAATATTATGCAATACACTTCAACATTCACACCAACACAGTCACGGGAGACATCTCCCGTCACGCAGGGTGCATTCGCACCTCCACAGATCTCCAGTATCATCTGTTGATACTGGTAATGGCTCAAAAGGGCCACCACTTGCGGGTTATTCATGCCCGTGCCACCTCTTGGGTGGCTATGTTCAACACAGTCACCCACACAGAAAACAGTGTATTTCTTGCTCTCAGTAAGTTAATAGATGCGACATCAAAAAAGGATAATCATAATAAGGGTAAAAGCTATTTCTGGCTTTGCACACGAGATCACAAAAGTGTCATTTGACACTTTTCACAGCTGTTTGTAAACACTGATAAACATTTGACTAACGTCGCAATAAGAGAGACCCCCCCCCCCCTGGCTACCGGTAAAGTATTACGAAGTTGACATATAACACTGCAAGAAATATTATCGTAACATTGCTGAATACGCTATGAACAACCACGAAGCTACTTGAACAGGATCAGAGACTCAAAACTTTTAAAACGAATCTTATTTTGTATTTATATTTACAAGGGTTCTTACATTCTTGTACCGCCAGTAGCACGCAAAGCGTTTCAGGCAGGTCCTTAATCTTAATATTCCCCGGAATACGACCCGTTAAATTGTTTAACAAGCAGGTACTACTGTTTACTGTTGGGTAAACAGAGACTACAGTTAAGGATTCACAGTTATCGGCTTATAAATGCACAATATTGGCAGCTGCCGCTTTTTTCTGTTTTATGCCTCTCGGCTAGAGATGACATTCTCCATTAAGCAGGTTGCTGCTCACGATAGTGGAGTATATCACTGAACATAAGCCGATATTACACAAAGACTTGAAGGCTCAAGTATTGAGAATTAAGAATAATACAGTAAGGAGACGTTTATAGAACTCTTAACAGAAAGCGAAGCATTATGTTGCTTTAATGGACAGATTCACGAAGCAGTTACTCAAGCACTTACGAACCTGTACATCTTTTCTCAATCTTTGGCGGCTTTGTTTACAATTATTAAACAGTTAATGAGCTCCGAAGCACCAGGAGGCTGTTTATAACAATAACAACAGTTGATTGGCAAGTTTTCATGCTTGTAAACTGTTTAATAAACGTAACCAAAGCCGTCAAAGATTGAGGAAAGATGTACACGTTCGTAAGTGATTGCGTAACTGCTTTGTGAATCTGGCCCCCATAGTATACGCTTGGGATATAGACGTATGTGGCAGCTGTACCAATCCTCAAGTGATGGGATACAGACGTATGTGGCAGCTGTACCAATCCTCAAGTGATGGGATACAGACGTATGTGGCAGCTGTACCAATCCTCAAGTGATGGGATACAGACGTATGTGGCAGCTGTACCAATCCTCAAGTGATGGGATACAGACGTATGTGGCAGCTGTACCAATCCTCAAGTGATGGGATACAGACGTATGTGGCAGCTGTACCAATCCTCAAGTGATGGGATACAGACATATGTGGCAGCTGTACCAATCCTCAAGTGATGGGATACAGACGTATGTGGCAGCTGTACCAATCCTCAAGTGATGGGATACAGACGTATGTGGCAGCTGTACCAATCCTCAAGTGATGGGATACAGACGTATGTGGCAGTTGTACCAATCCTCAAGTGATGGGATACAGACGTATGTGGCAGCTGTGTGACAGAAAACATCCTACAATACAAGTTTCAAGAGTGTTATATACTGACCGACTTACGACCCCCCCCCCCCCCCGGCTCCCTACCCTGGGTTGAGATAATTCTGTAAGTACTATCTGGCTATCTGTATACAGGAATACATTATATACTGAACCTGTACTATTGATTTATTATACAATACGACAACTACGTAATATGTAGATGTAATTCTAGTTTGTGCATGTTAAAGGACTTCAGAGTCTGCTGTTGAATGCCCAGCAACTCGCTACAATAGAACAGTTATGTTCAAGTTATGCAGAACAGTCTCCGACTCTGTCCATGGAGAACAGGACAGTCATAGACGTCATAAAGAACTTTTTCATAAATAGATCGGACTAGACGAGGAAGTTTTCGAAACTTCAAGTAATGAGATCAGTTAGATTAAGGACCTGCCCGAAACGCTGCGCGTTCTACTGGCTTTACAAGATGGTAAATACTATGCTATGTATTCTCTCTAACCCAATGTACCTTCTTGTATATAAATAAAATAAAAATAAAATATAAATATGGCAAGAAAACGTGCTTGCCATAGTTCATGAACAGCCACGTCTAGACAGAAAAAGCTAAAAAAAAAATTATCTATCCAGAATTTTGAGCTTGCATTTCCCTTCACAAAAGCGGCTTCATAGGATCCATATATACATCTATCCATATATACATATATCCATATATACATATACTCCTGACGAGCAATGATGGCTTATATTTACAACAGATGGGTAGACAAGAAGTCTACAGTCTTCGTGGCTAGTCTTCCATTCTCTTTAGAGAATGGAAGACTAGTCTTCCATTCTAGACTAGCCACTAGCCACAATGGCTAGACTAGACTAGCCACAGGTGGAAGCTGAAACCAAATGGACCGAAGGAGTGTTAAGAAAATACTCTTACCCTACACGAGTGGACTAGTCAACAAGTGGACTGGCCTGAAATAAGTTGTGGAAGCCACCTCCATCCACAACCCTGGTACAAGGAGGCTGTACCAACCTTGGTACAAGACAGGGGGGCATAAGGAGCTAGATATCACTCCCGTAATCACTGATAAACATGTTCGTCACTTTTAACTTCTCTATAACCGAGGTTAAAGAGAAGGTTATAGAGGTGGTCTATAACCAAGGTTATAGACCACAACACCTGTATATCAACAGTAGGTGGCTATATTGCCTCCAGGACCAGGGGCCAGATTCACGAAAGCACTTACGAACGTGTACATCTTTCCTCAATCTTTGACGGCTTTGGTTACATTTATTAAACAGTTTACAAGCATGAAAACTTGCCAATCAACTGTTGTTATTGATATAAACAGCCTCCTGGTGCTTCGGAGCTCATTAACTGTTTAATAATTGTAAACAAAGCCGCCAAAGATTGAGAAAAGATGTAAACGTTCGTAAGTGCTTTCGTGAATCTGGCCCCTGGAACACGCGGCTTTGCACCATATTGCAAATATCGGGCTACGATATTTGTCCTAAATTGCTCAATTGTGAACGCTATCTTGTCCTTCAGGAAATAAATACAGATCCTATAGAAACAGAAGGATGTAAGAACGTACCTTGAACTGCAGGAGTTTGGTCTCGCCAGGAGTTTAACCCTTACCTATAAATGGCATGAAAAGATATATTAATAGCCTTTATACCTATAAATCCCCATAAACCACAAACAATATAATTAAACGACAATAGTTTGAAACGAAATGAAAGTGACTGTTTCGATACCTCATGAACTCTTACCCGCCAAACACACACCGAAACTACGACGTTGGTACAACGTTCGAACAAGTTTTAACACCTCCTAACCAGTTATAACAACCAATATAGCAAGTTGTAACAACGTTCTAATACGTCATAAACACGTTAAGCCAAGATGTAACAACTTTATTACAAGTTGTAACAAGCGGAAAATAGAGACAGTTTCGGTTTGTGTTTCCAAGGTATTAATCCCCATAGACATTATTACATTTAAATCTATGAACAAATCCACAAGGGCCGTGACGAGGATTCGAACCTGCGTCCGGGAGCATCCCAGACACTGCCTTAATCGACTGAGTTACTACAGGGTAAAAGGGTTGAAACCGAAGCTCTACTGAACTTACTGGATCCCGTAGCCTCTCCGAGGCACAAACCAGGATTTTACACAACTCCCCCCTGCACCCGAGCTATGTCAATAGGCCGTTCTCCCTCTTCGCCCTTACATCATCACAAATCTATATATATAAAAGCAGCCAAGACGAAGGTGACACTCGAGGCTCGAGGTGCTGCTTACCTTGGCTTGAAGGATGCGGCCGCAGGGAGCACTTCCTCTTGTGAGGTCAACACCCAACGCTGATCTTGCAAGACATCTTAAAGCACCCAACACCGCACGGAAGACTGCACCTGTCGTAAACAATATTATTTCAAATGCAGGCGATGAGTCACAATAACGTGGCTGAAGTATGTTGACCAGACCACACACTAGAAGTTGAAGGGACGACGACGTTTCGGTCCGTCCTGGACCATTCTCAATTCGATTTACAGGAATCGACTTGAGAATGGTCCAGGACGGACCGAAACGTCGTCGTCCCTTCAATTTCTAGTGTGTGGTGTGGTCTGGTCAACAAATATTTCAACAGCAATAAACACCTGTCTAGAAGGGAAGGGAACTATCAGGGGGTTAGCGCCAAGTCATTACCACTGTCTTCAACTACAACAATTTCCTGAAAAACACTAAACTTCCCTAAGTTTAGGGGGAATTTGGTATTAAAAGTATCAACACAAGACAGAACACGAAACAATGGGTATAAATTGGATAAGTTTAGATTTAGGAAAGACTTGGGTAAATACTGGTTCGATAACAGGGTTGTAGATTTGTGGAACCAATTACCGCGTAACGTGGTGGAGGTGGGGTCCCTCGATTGTTTCAAGCGCGGGTTGGACAAGTATATGAGTGGGATTGGGTCGTTATAGATAGGAGCTGCCTCGTATGGGCCAATAGGCCTTCTGCAGTTACCTTTGTTCTTTGTTCTTATGTTCTTAACACATCAACTGTCATTATCTACTCCCGTAATCACTGCAATCGAATACGCGGTGATTGTAAGTATCCAGGAATTGGGGTTACAATTTCCTGAAAGGTTCAAGTTGTTATCGACATATCACAACACACCAGTCAACACCTGCAGTAGACGAAGTAATGCATACCTGGCCTCAGGCAGCCCCGAACTCGTCAACTACCACCAATTGGTCGTTAATTCAGTCACCACCAAACTACTGGTTTATGAAAGAAATACTTCACATGGCTCAACTGATTACGTCTTTACTTTTCTCGTGCACTGCATTGAGAACCTAACCTAACCACCTGATAATTAGCCTACACAATCTAACCACCTAACACTACCTAAGACCTAACACTTAGGTTACACAACTCTACATTCTAGTTATGAAATAATGTCGGGGGATTAAACGCCGACCTGCATGAAGCGACACCGTCGCTCTACCGTCCAGGGTCTCCAGAGATTGTCTGAGAAATGGCTAGTAGACTTCAACCCAGATATGTGCAGGTTAGAAGGAAAGAGGGCGGGGAGAGACATGAGTAGATCACATATATATCTTGAGGTTATCTTGAGTTGATTTCGGGGCTTTAGTGTCCCCGCGGCCCGGTCCTCGACCAGGCCTCCACCCCCAGGAAGCAGCCCGTGACAGCTGACTAACTCCCAGGTACCCATTTACTGCTAGATAACAGGGGCATCAGGGTGAAAAACTATGCCAATCGTTTCTCGCCGGCGCCCGGGATCGAACCCGGAACCACAGGATCACGTGTCCAGCGTGCTGTCCGCTCGGCCGGCCGGCTCCCTATAGTACACATCCGACAAATAAGAAGGGAAGCAACATTCAGTTTAAGAAACAGAAGAGCGAAGACATGAATGGAAACTGGGGAGACATGAAATACAGAAATATGGAAAATGAACTTCAGTAAATGGTCCCATTGAGGAAGTTCCCTGGAAACACAAACCGAAACTGTCTCTATTTTCCGCTTGTTACAACTTGTAATAAAGTTGTTACATCTTGGCTTAACGTGTTTATGACGTATTAGAACGTTGTTACAACTGGCTATATTGGTTGTTATAACTGGCTAGGAGGGCTTAAAACTTGTTCGAACGTTGCACCAACGTCGTAGTTTCGGTGTGTTTTTGGCGGGTTGTCTCTGCTAATTCCAGACTTAAATTTTGCATATATATACGATTAGAAAAACAAACGCAAAGGGTGAGAAACTCTTTGGAACATGACGGGTTCGAACCTGGGTCCCGTGTCCCCCCCCCCCCCCCAAGACGCACGCAGGACCCCCCGAACCATGATATACTCAAGACGATATAGCCAGGTATGCGGCGCAGACCCACTGACAGTCTCGAAGCCCCCGAGGAGGTAGCCAGCCCAAGGGGCTAGATTCACGAAGCAGATACGCAAGCACTTACGAACCTGGGGCTAGATTCACGAAGCAGATACGCAAGCACTTACGAACCTGGGGCTAGATTCACGAAGCAGATACGCAAGCACTTACGAACCTGGGGCTAGATTCACGAAGCAGATACGCAAGCACTTACGAACCTGGGGCTAGATTCACGAAGCAGATACGCAAGCACTTACGAACCTGGGGCTAGATTCACGAAGCAGTTACGCAAGCACTTACGAACCTGGGGCTAGATTCACGAAGCAGATACGCAAGCACTTACGAACCTGGGGCTAGATTCACGAAGCAGTTACGCAAGCACTTACGAACCTGGGGCTAGATTCACGAAGCAGATACGCAAGCACTTACGAACCTGGGGCTAGATTCACGAAGCAGATACGCAAGCACTTACGAACCTGGGGCTAGATTCACGAAGCAGATACGCAAGCACTTACGAACCTGGGGCTAGATTCACGAAGCAGATACGCAAGCACTTACGAACCTGGGGCTAGATTCACGAAGCAGATACGCAAGCACTTACGAACCTGGGGCTAGAGTCACGAAGCAGATACGCAAGCACTTACGAACCTGGGGCTAGATTCACGAAGCAGATACGCAAGCACTTACGAACCTGGGGCTAGATTCACGAAGCAGTTACGCAAGCGCTTACGAACCTGGGCCTAGATTCACGAAGCAGTTACGCAAGCACTTACGAACCTGGGACCAGATTCACGAAGCAGTTACGCAAGCACTTACGAACCTGGGACCAGATTCACGAAGCAGTTACGCAAGCACTTACGAACCTGGGCCTAGATTCACGAAGCAGTTACGCAAGCACTTACAAACCTGGGCCTAGATTCACGAAGCAGTTACGCAAGCACTTACGAAACCTGTACCTCTTTCTTCAAACACGGCGGTTTTATTTACATACAATGAACTCTACGAGCGCCGAAGCACTACGAGGTTCATTAAAACAAACCTTTAGAATGCAATGTTCTGAAGCTCCTAAACTGTTGAATAAATGTAAACGAAGCCATCATGATTGAGGAAAGATTTACAGGTTTCGTAAGTTGGCGAGTAAATGCTTGATCAATCCTGGCCTGGATAAAAATGACACGCGTCATTTTTAGGCTGTAAATGTTCGAACATTTACAGATGTTTACAAAAAATGTCATTTTTAGGCTCCACAGGCTGTAAATGTTCGAATATTTACAGATGTTTACAAAAAATGTCATTTTTAGGCTCCACAGGCTGTAAATGTTCGAACGAACATTTGAGACTTGCGTTTTCCTCAATAGTGAATTGATTTGATGAAAATTATCTGTGATCTCTGGCCACTAAGTGGTCGGGTAATATATAGACAGAGGGAATACAGAATGAATGAAAAAGGGAATGCAATAGACGGAATACAGAGAATATAATGACGAGATAAAGCACCTGAATTATTGGGATCGTCTCAAAAGCCCTCCAAATGTACTCACTTTGAGAACGTAAGACGTATTAAGACGGGTTTGAATACCCGGGACTTGTACAACTAAAACGGTTCTCTTTCCGTTTCTCGTCTCAAAGCCCTCCAAATGTACTCACTAGAAAGAAGACGAGAGAGAGATAGCAAATAATATACACCTGGAAGATACTGGAGGGCCAAGTACCAAATCTACACAGTAAAATAACATACTGGAGTGAACGACATAGAAAATGCAGAATAGAACCAGTGAAGAGCAGAGGTGCCATGGGCACAATCAGAGAACACTGTATAAACATCAGAGGTCCGCGGTTGTTCAACGTCCTCCCAGCGAGCATAAGAAATATTGCTGGAACAACCGTGGACATTTTCAAGAGGAAACTAGATTTATTCCTCCAAGGAGTGCCGGACCAACCGGGCTGTGGTGGATATGTGGGCCTGCGGGCCGTTCCAAGCAACAGCTGGTGGACCAAACTCTCACAAGTCAAGCCTGGCCTCGGCGGGCTTGGGGAGTAGGACCAGGTATATGTGGGCCTGCGGGCCGCTCCAAGCAACAGCCTGGTGGACCAAACTCTCACAAGTCAAGCCTGGCCTCGGGCCGGGCTTGGGGAGTAGAAGAACTCCCAGAACCCCATCAACCAGGTATATGTGGGTCTGCGGGCCGCTGCAAGCAACAGCCAGGTGGACCAAACTCTCACAAGTCAAGCCTGGCCTCGGGCCGGGCTTGGGGAGTAGAAGAACTCCCAGAACCCCATCAACCAGGTATATGTGGGCCTGCGGGCCGCTGCAAGCAACAGCCAGGTGGACCAAACTCTCACAAGTCAAGCCTGGCCTCGGGCCGGGCTTGGGGAGTAGAAGAACTCCCAGAACCCTATCAATCAGGTAAATACTCTCCGACTACCGACACTTTTGAAGAGTCTGTCGTGGTCCATTGGTTATGGAACTGGACATGCTTCTTAAAATTGTGGCTCATAACTCCATTTCTATAAAGAATTAGTTTAGTTTGAATCTAATCGTCTGTTGCCGTTTGAAAACCTTTGTAAACCCTTTGTACAGAACATATGAATACTCTTGTGTCTGAAGTGTGTGTATATATTTTTACCGAATATTCGACTCCCTAAACAGGCGTGTAACCTACAGTGTTGGTTCACAAGGCTTGGCGGGTGGCTGTGTCGGGTTTACCAGCCAGTGAAACACAACACTGTCTTCCCTCTCCAAACACACCACTACTCTCCTCCTCCACCACCACCACCAAACACACCACAACTCTCACCCACACCACTACTCTCCCCCACCACCACCACCAAACACACCACTACTCCCCCACCACCACCACCACACCACTCCTCCCCCACCACCACCACCAAACACACTACTCTCCTCCACCACCACCACCAAACACACCACTACTCTCCCCCACCACCAAACACACCACTACTCTCCCCCACCACCAAACCACCACTACTCTCCCCCACCACCAAACACACCACTACTCTCCCCCACCACCAAACCACCACTACTCTCCCCCACCACCAAACACACCACTACTCTCCCCCACCACCAAACACACCACTACTCTCCCCCACCACCACCACCAAACACACCACTACTCTCCCCCACCACCACCACCACCAAACACACCACTACTACTCCCCACCACCACCACCAAACACACCACTACTCTCCCCCACCACCACCACCAAACACACCACTACTCTCCCCCACCACCACCACCCCACCAAACACACCCACCACCACCACCACCAAACACACCACTACTCTCCCCCACCACCACCACCAAACACACCACTACTCTCCCCCACCACCACCACCAAACACACCACTACTCTCCCCCACCACCACCACCAAACACACCACTACTCTCCCCCCACCACCACCAAACACACCACTACTCTCCCCCCACCACCACCAAACACACCACTACTCTCCCCCACCACCACCACCAAACACACTACTACTCTCTCCCCACCACCACCACCAAACACACCACTACTCTCTCCCCACCACCACCACCAAACACACCACTACTCTCCCCCACCACCAAACACACCACTACCACCAAACACACCACTACTCTCCCCCACCACCACCACCAAACACCACTACTCTCTCCCCACCACCACCACCAAACACACCACTCCTCTCCCACCACCACCACCACCAAACACACCACTACTCTCCCCCACCAAACACAAAGCTTCACCAGCCACCATGGGAGCTGCCTACTGCGCGTCTCTGGCTTTGTCTATTGACAGTCTGCCCGGCTTCTCCTCACACTGACTTAAGGAAAGACCGAGGTACCGCTGTTCTCACCCAAGACGGTCCAATACCTGGATCATATCTCCGCCAAGTTGAATGACGATGGTTCTTTGGTGTTCAGTAAATGTAACAAAAATATTTAGGATCATTGCTGACCAGACCACACACTAGAAGGTGAAGGGACGACGACGTTTCGGTCCGTCCTGGACCATTCTCAAGTCGATTGTCTTCAAGTATTTTAGATTCAAGTATTCAGAATCATAGTGAGAACTTTGAGCCAGTTTGACCATATTGCACTTGGGAGGGATTATAGGCCTTAAGGTTTACCACCTTAGGCCTATTATCTCGCCGATCTTCACATCGACTTGCAAAGAGGCTGAACCAAAGTCTCTCCGTTCATCCCGACCACATTCCCCCTCAAGTCTAGCGAAGAATTCATCGAGGTTCTTAAACCGAGAGAATCCCGCATGATCTTCACGTTCAAAGTCTGTTCACTAACGTTGAAAGGAACATAATACTGGACTGTGTCGACTAGAGTACCTCCTCCCACTTAACCTACGTTCAACAATCCTGACGGATAAGCTCGAGGAATGCATCATAGATTTTTTCTGTGCTTCGAAGATACGCCACCGAAGCTGGGGCCAGATTCACGAAGCAGTTACGCAAGCACTTACGAACCTGGGGCCAGATTCACGAAGCAGTTACGAAAGCACTTACGAACGTGTACATTTTCCTCAATCTTTGACGGCTTTGGTTACATTTATTAAACAGTTTACAAGCATGAGAACGTCCCAATCAACTGTTATTGTTATAAACAGTCTCCTAGTGCTTCGGAGCTCATTAACTGTTTAATAATTGTAAACAAAGCCGCCAAAGATTGAGAAAAGATGGACAGGGCCGTAAGCTATTTGTAACTGCTTCGTGAATCTGGCCCCGACTAATATTTTTAATATAACCGCAGGCTCCCCCCCCCCCTTTTCAAATTTCCGTTCATATTTGCTTTCGTGGGTCCAATTTTCAACCCATTTATAGGCTGAAGAGGGAATATCTACTACATAAAAAATATCGAGAGCGCCTTTAATGTTGTTTCAAAGCTTCTCTCTCCAGATTGACGTTCCTAGACGTGAAGACAGACGCTCGAATTCACTAAAAAATAACATCTTTTGAACATGATCTTGAGTTAACGTTGATACAGATAATGATACTCGTCTCATACCCGTTCTGCTTGTTATCTCTGACGGGAAAATACATCTTTCGTAAATCAGTTATTTTTTTTTTACCTGTGTATTACATTGTTTCTTCCCAGAATCTTTTTTTCCTGTTTTACAGATTTTCTTCAATATCTCAGTTTCTTCCCTGAATGAAACCAAGTTTCTCAATCTCTCAGTTTGTTAAATAAAACTTTTTCCCCCCTCAGTATCTAAGAGTTTGCTCTATCTCACTGAGTTTCTTTCCTCCATCTTAACTTTCTTCCCAGCTTCGAATCGTTAGCCAAGATGCTGAGCAGGCAATAGGGGGGGGGGGGGAAATAAGTGCACTGAGGCAGAAAACTTTTATATATTGCAAATCATGAGCAACTAAGATCATGCAACGATAATGCAATCTCCCACGGTAACGTCACTAGCCCAATCTCCCACGGTAACGTCACTAGCCCAATCTCCCACGATAACGTTAACAGCCCAATCTCCCACAGTAACGTTACTAGGCCCAATCTCCCGCGGTAACGTCAAGAGCCCAATCTCCCGCGGTAACGTCAAGAGCCCAATCTCCCATTGGTAACGTTAACAGCCCAATCTCCCGCGGTAACGTTACTAGCCCAATCTCCCGCGGTAACGTTACTAGCCCAATCTCCCGCGGTAACGTCACTAGCCCAATCTCCCGCGGTAACGTCACTAGCCCAATCTCCCACGGTAACGTCACTAGCCCAATCTCCCGCGGTAACGTCACTAGCCCAATCTCCCGCGGTAACGTCACTAGCCCAATCTCCCACAGTAACGTTACTAGGCCCAATCTCCCGCGGTAACGTCACTAGCCCAATCTCCCGCGGTAACGTCAAGAGCCCAATCTCCCGCGGTAACGTCAAGAGCCCAATCTCCCATTGGTAACGTCAACAGCCCAATCTCCCGCGGTAACGTCAAGAGCCCAATCTCCCGCGGTAACGTCAAGAGCCCAATCTCCCATTGGTAACGTTAACAGCCCAATCTCCCGCGGTAACGTTACTAGCCCAATCTCCCGCGGTAACGTTACTAGCCCAATCTCCCGCGGTAACGTTACTAGCCCAATCTCCCGCGGTAACGTTACTAGCCCAATCTCCCGCGGTAACGTCACTAGCCCAATCTCCCGCGGTAACGTCACTAGCCCAATCTCCCGCGGTAACGTCACTAGCCCAATCTCCCGCGGTAACGTCACTAGCCCAATCTCCCACGGTAACGTTACTAGCCCAATCTCCCGCGGTAACGTTACTAGCCCAATCTCCCGCGGTAACGTCACTAGCCCAATCTCCCGCGGTAACGTTAATAGCCCAATCTCCCGCGGTAACGTCAATAGCCCAATCTCCCGCGGTAACGTCACTAGCCCAATCTCCCGCGGTAACGTCACTAGCCCAATCTCCCGCGGTAACGTCACTAGCCCAATCTCCCGCGGTAACGTCACTAGCCCAATCTCCCGCGGTAACGTCACTAGCCCAATCTCCCGCGGTAACGTTACTAGCCCAATCTCCCGCGGTAACGTCACTAGCCCAATCTCCCACGATAACGTTAACAGCCCAATCTCCCACAGTAACGTTACTAGGCCCAATCTCCCGCGGTAACGTCAAGAGCCCAATCTCCCGCGGTAACGTCAAGAGCCCAATCTCCCGCGGTAACGTCAACAGCCCAATCTCCCGCGGTAACGTCAAGAGCCCAATCTCCCGCGGTAACGTCAAGAGCCCAATCTCCCGCGGTAACGTCACTAGCCCAATCTCCCGCGGTAACGTCACTAGCCCAATCTCCCGAGGTAACGTTACTAGCCCAATCTCCCGCGGTAACGTCAATAGCCCAATCTCCCGCGGTAACGTCACTAGCCCAATCTCCCACGGTAACGTCACTAGCCCAATCTCCCACGGTAACGTCACTAGCCCAATCTCCCACGATAACGTCACTAGCCCAATCTCCCGCGGTAACGTTACTAGCCCAATCTCCCGCGGTAACGTTACTAGCCCAATCTCCCGCGGTAACGTCACTAGCCCAATCTCCCGCGGTAACGTCACTAGCCCAATCTCCCGCGGTAACGTTACTAGCCCAATCTCCCGCGGTAACGTCACTAGCCCAATCTCCCGCGGTAACGTCACTAGCCCAATCTCCCGCGGTAACGTCACTAGCCCAATCTCCCGCGGTAACGTCACTAGCCCAATCTCCCGCGGTAACGTCACTAGCCCAATCTCCCGCGGTAACGTCACTAGCCCAATCTCCCGCGGTAACGTCACTAGCCCAATCTCCCGCGGTAACGTCACTAGCCCAATCTCCCGCGGTAACGTTACTAGCCCAATCTCCCGCGGTAACGTTACTAGCCCAATCTCCCGCGGTAACGTTAAGAGCCCAATCTCCCGCGGTAACGTCACTAGCCCAATCTCCCGCGGTAACGTTACTAGCCCAATCTCCCGCGGTAACGTCACTAGCCCAATCTCCCGCGGTAACGTCACTAGCCCAATCTCCCGCGGTAACGTCACTAGCCCAATCTCCCGCGGTAACGTTACTAGCCCAATCTCCCGCGGTAACGTTACTAGCCCAATCTCCCGCGGTAACGTCAAGAGCCCAATCTCCCGCGGTAACGTCAAGAGCCCAATCTCCCGCGGTAACGTCAAGAGCCCAATCTCCCGCGGTAACGTCACTAGCCCAATCTCCCGCGGTAACGTTACTAGCCCAATCTCCCGCGGTAACGTCAAGAGCCCAATCTCCCGCGGTAACGTTAAGAGCCCAATCTCCCATTGGTAACGTTAAGAGCCCAATCTCCCGCGGTAACGTCACTAGCCCAATCTCCCGCGGTAACGTTAAGAGCCCAATCTCCAGCGGTAAATGAGCCGGAATATACGATTAGGTTTATATATATCTTCCATGATTCCAATGATTAGTTTTAATGGGGGATTATTTAGTGACGCCTAACTACGAATGAGCAATAGAATTACTTTTATATCAGTAGTTACTGGGTTTGTGAAGCTACATACCCCTATACTGACCCCTATAAGGCTACCCCCCCCCCTTCTCAACCCCCTCCCTAATCTATCCTCAACCGTTCCCTACTCATCAGGCTCTAGTAAACCCAATCTCTTCCCCCCCCCTCCTCTCTCTCCCTCCCTCTCTCCCTCCCTCCCTCCCTCCCTCCTCTCCCTCCCTCCCTCCCTCCTCTCCCTCCCTCCCTCCCCTCCCTCCCTCTCCTTCCCTCCTCCTCTCCCTCTCTCCCTCCCTCTCTCTCTCCCTCCCTCATCTCCCTCTCTCCCTCTCCCTCTCTCCCTCCTCATCTCCCCCTCTCTCTCTCTCTCTCTCTCCCCCTCTCAACACATCAAATCCATCCGCCCCTACAACTCTCTCTCTCTCAACTTTCTTCATCAACCTCTAAAGTCTCCTCAAACTCCGTCAATCAATTCTCAATCTCACCCCCCCCCCCTCTTCTACTTCCTAACCACTTTCTACCTCTCAATGTCACGTGATTCAATTCCAATATTCCTCAACCCCGCTTACCCTCTCAAATGCACAACACCTTTATCTAATTCAACCGTTTAACAAGTCTATTAACAAGCTTTACCCGACTTATAATCTCCCCTTACCTCACAAAATAGGCCTACCATAACTTAGGTCTACATCAAAGACGAAACCTTCCTTACAATTTAGACAAACACCAATCTTCAATAACTATCTCATGCAACCTATTTTTTCCAGACACGCTGCAGCGTGCTACTGAATGCAGTTATGATTTAAGAAATCTTTTCATAAAAAATTAACAATCTTGTAAATCAGTACATAAATGATTAACCAATTTTGTTCTTCCTCATTTGCATGTGCAAATCAACGCCCCCCAATCATAGCATTATCAGTGGCCTCTTTTTTTCGCATCAAAATTACGCAATTTGTTTCATGGTTATTGCAGACTGCTCTCAGTGATGCTTCAGGTAGGTGCATATTTCTGTGATGTTTATCAAATCAATCCTATCAGAACAAAGATTTTAATAGGCAGGTACAGTCAGATTACATAAACATTGTGAGTATATCATATTTCCAAGTTTCTATTAGGCAGATATAGTTATATACACAATGTGTATGTGTTCTTTCCAAGTTTCTATTAGGCAGATATAGTTATATACACAATGTGTATGTGTTCTTTCCAAGTTTCTATTAGGCAGATATAGTTATATACACAATGTGTATGTGTCCTATCATATTACATTCTCAAGCTTCAAGTAGACACGGTTATACAAAGCATATATGTAATCTAGCCACTCATACTGCCTTAACAGCACTACCATCCTCTCATCCTGAAAAAGGATGTATATGTATATTTGTAAAGAATTGCTTCTGATTTAACTGTACACGACAGACAGGACTTAATAAGAGGCTCATTGACCTGGATCTGTCTTCACGCAGACGATGGTTACGTCTGAAATTGCGTGCAAACTGCCCTCATTTATTCTTGTTAAATCTGATGCCTGACACCATTATTTTCCCTTAACGACTATGCCACACGGAAGAGTTAAGTCCATCATAAAAGATTATATGAATGTTGGCATTCGTGTCGCATTGGTAGTTTGGTAGTTTCATTGTGAGAGTGAGTGAGAAATGTATTATTTATACTGGCAGGATAGGAGTTGTCAATCAACAGGTGTACAGGTTCCTGAGCCTATTGGGCTCTATCATATCTACATTTGAAACTGTGTATGGAGTCAGCCTCCACCACATCACTGCCTAATGCATTCCCAAGTGCACCTTAATTGTGCTTGCGGGGGTTGAGTTCTGGCTCTTTGGTCCCGCCTCTCAACCGTCAATCAACAGGTGTACAGTTTCCTGAGCCTATTGGGCTCTATCATATCTACATTTGAAACTGTGTATGGAGTCAGCCTCCACCACATCACTGCCTAATGCATTCCCAAGTGCACCTTAATTGTTCTTGCGGGGGTTGAGCTAAGTTTTTTTTTTTATCCCGCCTCTCAACTGTCAATCAACTGTACTCGCCTAGTTATATTCGCCTAGTTGTGCTTGTGGGGGTTGAGCTTTGGCTCTTTGGTCCCGCCTCTCAATTGTCAATCAACTGGTGCACAGATTATGGAGCTTATTGGGCTCTATTAAATCTTCAAGAAACTTCTTAAATGAAGGATTCGAACCTAATCAGCCAGGCCTTCCATGTCCCTTGGCGTGTCCAGTACTACAACCACTCCACCAAACTACACGTGCGTGTGCGTGCGTTCGTGTATTTTCCATCCTTACTGTATTTCGCAGATCTATTTATATCACTCTGCAACACCTTCCATTTTTTCCTCCACTTTCCGTGGTCATTCTCCACCACAAATTACCTCCGGGAGCTCAACTTGACAATAAAACGCAAAATTGCAGCTCTGATATTCCTTTGTCACCGTCAAATTTGCCTGCCTGCCTGCCGGCGAGGCGGTGGACGGGGTCTCAGTTGCTCCTCAGCTCTGATATCCCTTTGTCACCGTCAAATTTGCCTGCCGGCGAGGCGGTGGACGGGGTCTCAGTTGCTCCTCAGCTCTGATATCCCTTTGTCACCGTCAAATTTGCCTGCCTGCCTGCCGGCGAGGCGGTGGACGGGGTCTCAGTTGCTCCTCAGCTCTGATATTCCATTGTCACCGTCAAATTTGCCTGCCTGCCTGCCTGCCGGGGAGGCGATGGACGGGGTCTCAGTTGCTCCTCAGCTCTGATATTCCATTGTCACCGTCAAATTTGCCGGCCTGCCTGCCGGCGAGGCGGTGGACGGGGTCTCAGTTGCTCCTCCTTTGTCGGGAAACTCGAATGTATGGAAAAATAATTGACGGTAACTGGGGAGTTTATTGACCTCGCGTGAATGACTGAGAAAAATCGTACTGCAGTTATCTCGGGTCGTCAGGCAAGGACCAGGGAAAATATTCGGTGAACACACATGCATACAAATTTACACTGGGAATAGCAATGGGGTGAGACCTGTTAGCGTCGTCTGAGTACCAATGATGCCTGTGGCCTGACGGCTGAGTGGACAGCGCTCGGGATTCGTAGTCCTGAAGTTCCTGGTTCGATCCCCGGCGGAGGCGGAAACAATTGGGCAGAATCTCTCTCACCCTGATGCCTGTTCACCTAGCAGTAAATAGGTACCTGGGAGTTAGACAGCTGTTACAGGCTGCTTCCTGGGGATGTGTAACAAAAAGGTCTGGTCGAGGACCGGGCCGCGGGGACACTAAGCCCCGAAATCCTCAAGATAACCTCAAGATAACCTCCATATAACGCTAATGTGCCCACCATTCTCCTTACCCTCTTAATAGCTTTCTTCCCCTCTCCTCCATTGTATATCATTTACGGGTTATTCATGCCCGTGCCACCTCTTTGTTGGCTTGATCTTCATCGATCATTGTCCCTCAGCCTGTCCTAGATATCTGAAGAATGGAATTCTCGAAAGTATGCTCAGATGAAGAGATTTTCCATTCATGGCAGTTGATTTGTATTTTTTGAAGATCGGTGTTGTAATCTTCTGTGCCCATGTATGTATGTATGTATGTATGTATATTCACTTGGACCATCTGATCCTTGAACCTGGGACAACAAAAGCCTAAGACCGTACTTCTGTAGCTCTAGTTCCTCCGTAGTTCTACGAGTAATCCTACGAGTAATCCTACGAGTAGTTCTACGTAGTTCGTAGTTCTGGTCAAGAACATGGTTCTCAACCAACCAGGCTACCGGTTGGTCAACTGGTTTCCAATTGGGACAAAGGTGTTTCTCTTGAGTGTCACTCGAGTACTGTGTTAGGTAATCCATTCTTTCCCCCCTCCCCCCCCCCTGAACCCATCCCAAATCCCTTCTTTATGAGTGAAATACTCTTTACATACGACTCGAACTGATTACGCTCGAAATTTTTCGGATCAGTGCTTATTGTCTCTTCATGTGTTCGAATCGCACCTCAATGCTTCGCCCATTAGTTCTAGCCCAATATGTTTTAAACGGTAGCTAGTGATTTAGCGATTCAGTTAAAAACAAAGCGTTATAAGCAATTATAAATACTTGCCAATATAATTAAAACACCAGACCTAACCTAACCAATCATATCCTATTGTATCCGATCCTAGCCCAGCCTAATCTAATTCTAGCCGAACCTAATCTAATCCTGGCCTAGCCTAGGCCAGCTTAACCTAATCCTAGCCTAGGCCAACAAAACCTATTCAAATTCTAAATGTAAAATGTTACAGTTCAGAGAAAGTAGAAATAGCCTAAGCTACTCTATCCCTTTGAGAAGTATTTTTCCATGTCTCAAACATACTTGAACTTCAGAGAAATCTATTTTCATTAACGAGTAAGTTAAACCAGTTAATTGTCTCTACAGTTGGCCTCCTGTTTGATAAATGAGGTTCGCAGTTTTATCCTTGCATAAAACCAATAACAGTGAATCTGAACAAATCCACAAGGGCCGTGACGAGGATTCGAACCTGCGTCAGGGAGCATCCCAGACACACTGCCTTAATCGACTGAGCTACGACAGGGTAAAAAGATTCTTGTTCATTTGATGCATCACGTTAGTGTGATTTCTGTGTGTAAAGTCTGTAAAGTAAAGTCTGTAAAGTCTGAAGTTCGTCTAAAGTCTGAAGTTCGTCTAAAGTCTGAAGTTCGTCTAAAGTCTGAAGTTCGTCTAAAGTCTGAAGTTCGTCTAAAGTCTGAAGTTCGTCTAAAGTCGAAAGTTCGTCTAAAGTCTGAAGTTCGTCTAAAGTCTGAAGTTCGTCTAAAGTCTGAAGTTCGTCTAAAGTCTGAAGTTCGTCTAAAGTCTGAAGTTCGTCTAAAGTCTGAAGTTCGTCTAAAGTCTGAAGTTCGTCTAAAGTCTGAAGTTCGTCTAAAGTCTGAAGTTCGTCTAAAGTCTGAAGTTCGTCTAAAGTCTGTTACTGGTCTAGTGCCTGACTGCCTTTGTCATTAGGGAGCAAATGCTATAATTACCTTTTCTATAGCCTATGTAGGGAGTAATTTAATTGTAAAATACACTAAAATAAAAAGGTACCCCCCTTATCTGAGATGCTAAAATGTAGTATTTTTAATTTGCTGTAGGTATTAATGAAATTTGCTAAAATTTTATATATATATATATTTTTTTTTTTTTTTTTTTTTACTATAGAGTGTATTACACTTATTTGTATAATTTGCACGACGTGTATATATATATATATATATATATATATATATATATATATATATATATATATATATATATATATATATATATATATATTTCCTTTCATAACTTTCGTTTCTTAGGTGACTAGAATTGTTTTGAAGGAACAATTCATCAAAGATTGTGAAGGTTTATCCATCCTTTTGCTTTAATATCATTTGAAATTAACATTTTTTACCTCACAATATGCTCCTTGAGTTATAAGTACCTTAAATACGACGATGATCAGCCTGGAGCATTGTAATTCATCATTAGTTATGCTGTGTTGGTATGATGAGTCCTCCAGTGGGGCTCATTGTCTCCTGTTATGAGAATTGGTGTTACCTCTGTCCTGCGTGACAGTGAATACCAGCATTATCCTCACTTTAATAGGACTTAATTGAAATCCTCAGATTAGGCAAAATTGCAATTAATTTTGTCAATAAAGATGTTAATAATAAATAGGAAAATTGAGCTGGACTTTGACCTTCCCACTTTCCATTTCCTCACACCATCCTTCTATTCCCCCTATCCCTCCAGCCTTCATGCCTCTATTCCCCCTATCCCTTCAGCCTTCATGCCTCTATTCCCCCTATCCCTCCAGCCTTCATGCCTCTATTCCCCCTATCCCTCCAGCCTTCATGCCTCTATTCCCCCTATCCCTCCAGCCTTCATGCCTCTATTCCCCCTATCCCTCCAGCCTTCATGCCTCTATTCCCCCTATCCCTCCAGCCTTCATGCCTCTATTCCCCCTATCCCTTCAGCCTTCATGCCTCTATTCCCCCTATCCCTTCAGCCTTCATGCCTCTATTCCCCCCTATCCCTTCAGCCTTCATGCCTCTATTCCCCCCTATCCCTCCAGCCTTCATGCCTCTATTCCCCCCTATCCCTCCAGCCTTCATGCCTCTATTCCCCCCTATCCCTCCAGCCTTCATGCCTCTATTCCCCCTATCCCTCCAGCCTTCATGCCTCTATTCCCCCTATCCCTCCAGCCTTCATGCCTCTATTCCCCCTATCCCTCCAGCCTTCATGCCTCTATTCCCCCTATCCCTCCAGCCTTCATGCCTCTATTCCCCTATCCCTCCAGCCTTCATGCCTCTATTCCCCCTATCCCTCCAGCCTTCATGCCTCTATTCCCCCTATCCCTCCAGCCTTCATGCCTCTATTCCCCCTATCCCTCCAGCCTTCATGCCTCTATTCCCCCTATCCCTCCAGCCTTCATGCCTCTATTCCCCCTATCCCTCCAGCCTTCATGCCTCTATTCCCCCTATCCCTCCAGCCTTCATGCCTCTATTCCCCCTATCCCTCCAGCCTTCATGCCTCTATTCCCCCTATCCCTCCAGCCTTCATGCCTCTATTCCCCCTATCCCTCCAGCCTTCATGCCTCTATTCCCCCTATCCCTCCAGCCTTCATGCCTCTATTCCCCCTATCCCTCCAGCCTTCATGCCTCTATTCCCCCTATCCCTCCAGCCTTCATGCCTCTATTCCCCCTATCCCTTCAGCCTTCATGCCTCTATTCCCCCTATCCCTCCAGCCTTCATGCCTCTATTCCCCCTATCCCTCCAGCCTTCATGCCTCTATTCCCCCTATCCCTCCAGCCTTCATGCCTCTATCCCATACCTCCCTCCTCCTCCTCCTGGAGGTCACAAAGAAGACTACGCCCCCAGACTGGCCTCCACAGCCTCGTGCGAATGATAAAAGAGGAATCAAGCGCCTCTGTGAGTGCGCGAAGTTAATTAACAACCTCCTTTGACATGGGGGTGGGAGAGGTGGAAACCCCCATTAGATCTCGTCGACAATGCAAAGCCCAATTTCACGCAAAAAATATCGGTAGACTAGTTCAGCTTCATTGCATAGTGAAGAAGGATGAAAGGCGATCGATTATCCGATATGCAACACAATGGCCCTCAAAACGGAATTTGTAAGGAAAATGGATCTAGGGCATTCAAGCTTGTTCTTATCTGTGTAACTGGTAATTACAACGGTGAGGGTAACTTGACAGCTGCAGCAGAGACAACAGCAAGCAGAAACACCATCAAGCAGAAACACCACCAAGCAGAAACACCAAGCAGAAACACCAAGCAGAAACACCAAGCAGAAACACCAAGCAGAAACACCAAGCAGAAACACCAAGCAGAAACACCAAGCAGAAACACCAAGCAGAAACACCAAGCAGAAACACCAAGCAGAAACACCATCAAGCAGAAACACCATCAAGCAGAAACACCATCAAGCAGAAACACCACCAAGCAGAAACACCACCAAGCAGAAACACCATCAAGCAGAAACACCATCAAGCAGAAACACCAAGCAGAAACACCACCAAGCAGAAACACCACCAAGCAGAAACACCACCAAGCAGAAACACCACCAAGCAGAAACACCACCAAGCAGAAACACCACCAAGCAGAAACACCACCAAGCAGAAACACCACCAAGCAGAAACACCACCAAGCAACACCACCAAGCAGAAACACCACCAAGCAGAAACACCAAGCAGAAACACCATCAAGCAGAAACACCATCAAGCAGAAACACCATCAAGCAGAAACACCATCAAGCAGAAACACCATCAAGCAGAAACACCATCAAGCAGAAACACCAAGCAGAAACACCAAGCAGAAACATCAAGCAGAAACACCATCAAGCAGAAACACCATCAAGCAGAAACACCATCAAGCAGAAACACCATCAAGCAGAAACACCATCAAGCAGAAACACCATCAAGCAGAAACACCATCAAGCAGAAACACCATCAAGCAGAAACACCATCAAGCAGAAACACCAAGCAGAAACATCAAGCAGAAACACCAAGCAGAAACACCAAGCAGAAACACCAAGCAGAAACACCATCAAGCAGAAACACACAATATAGACAAGAGTTGTGGACAGGAAAACACCAAGTAGAATCTGAATGGGTCTCACAGACAATGATCGTGTCATATATATATATATATATATATATACACCAATTATGTCCAGTGAAAAGTCTTGATGGCACCATGTAATCGTCTCATTCACTTGGAACTATCTAACCCTCGAACCCCATACATGAAAACAGCAATCCGCAGTCCTACCAACTAAGTCACCAGCACCCACTACAAGGAAGCCTCCCAGAGACCCCCATCTGGTGTCCAACTGAAACTTTAGGCCTTCTGAGATGCTATACTCTGGCATAAAGGAGTTGATACACATCCTAGTCATTCAACATGTATTTATTGCACACAATAACAACCATATGGATCAAATATATGGGTTACCACGTCTCCAGCATCCTCTGATTTCTCATTGTGAGGAGATGAAAAGGTTTCTTTGGGTTATCGAGGTTTCCTTAAGCTTACGATCGTCGCTCTACCGTCCACCCAACCACTTGGGCTGGACGGTAGAGCGACGGTCTCACTTCATGCTGATCGGCGTTCAATCCCCGACCGTCCAAGCGGTTGGGGCACCATTCCATTCCCCCGTCCCATCCCAAATCCTTATCCTGACCCCTTCCCAGTGCTATATAGTCGTAATGGCTTGGTGCTTTCCCTTGATAATTCCTTCCTTCCCTCAGAATGCAACTCAAAACAACTGACAAACTCCTTGGTGTTTGACTGTTGGGTGAACACACGCATCAGGTGTAAGGGCTTCCCCGGACAAGCACTGGCCTTCCCTTTGATGCCAGGATGCAACCACAATAGCCGACTAACTCCCAGGTACCCATTTACTGGTAGGTGAACAGAGAGATCAGGTCAAAGGTCCCACACTAGGCCATGTGAGAATGCTTCGAGACAATTTTGAGGATGACTGCTTCTGTGAATACGACGAAGAACAAGGACTTCAACCATCCTTAAGCCTCGTTGATCCGAGCTATCAGACCCGTTGATCCGAGCTATCAGACCTGGTTGATCCGAGCTATCAGACCTGGTTGATCCGAACTATCAGACCTGGTTGATCCGAACTATCAGACCTGGTTGATCCGAACTATCAGACCTGGTTGATCTGACCCATCAGACTTGGTTGATCTGAGCTATCAGACCTGGTTGATAGAGCTAACTGATGGCTCTATCAACCAGCTCCATCAACCAGCTTTCAGTTTACCTAAAGAACGAGGCAGATATGTTTTCATATGAAAACAAAGGAGCATTAATCTAATCATAGGTATTCTGAAGCAAATATAAACTCAGTCGACCAGATTGCGAGCCTCGAGTCCGTCTTAATAAGGTTGCACCAATGTCTTGTAAGGTTCAGCTCTACACAACACCAAGATGTATATTTACCTGTAACTTAAACGACCCTTCGGTAGTTACTACAATCATTAAAGCTGTTTAGAGTAAACGATTGATAATTTGTAAAAGTTTTTTCGCTAAACTCAAAGTTGCAATAGTTTTCATAACAGGTAATTAAGAGAAAATATAAAATGATCTTTTAAAATTCAATTTACTAGTACTTAAAGTCTAATAAATAAAAATTCAAGATAAAACTGTATTAAGCAAAATTTTGGCCTTCGAACGCGAACCAGGAATTAAATTAGCCTTTGCCGGTAAACGCAAAACGCTCTTCGTCAACACTTAAACCCAACTTTAATTAAATTCTATACAGTAATTTTACACTGTGTTCCTCCTACACATTCTGGAAGGCATTCCCACTTTTCCTTAATGTTTACCAACCTCGCACACCGCTTTCGGAAGCCTCGCCCCCCCCCACCCCGTCTCTGAGTGAGTGAGTGAGTGAACTCGCCTATTTGTACTCCAGCCCGTCCTCCAAACAAAGATCCAAAAGTGATTCCATGCACCCGCCAAACCCCCTGTTTATGAATGAAAAGCGGTTTACACACGACTCACAACTGCTGACGTTCGAACATATCCGGAACAAGTGCTTCAGACGAATTTTGTTCGAACCACATCGCTATAAACAGCCCGTCCTCCAAACAAAGATCCAAAAGTTATTACATGCACCCGCCAAACCCCCTGTTTATGAATGAAAAGCGGTTTACACACGACTCACAACTGCTGACGTTCGAACATATCCGGAACAAGTGCTTCACTGACAAATTTTTTTCGAATCACAACGCTATAAATGCTTCACCCACGTACTACAAACACAAATAATCGCCAACAGAACCTAAACACCTAACCTAACCTAAGCCTATATATGCACAATATGCTAATATATTATATTAATTTATACTTGAGAAAATTCCCGTTTTGAATGAACAGCATGTTAACATTTATGAATGCGTCTGCGCGAGCGACCGCTGGATGGAATGGACTTGAGTCGAGAATGGGTTGTTGTACTCACGTATTTGTGCTTGCGAGGGTTGAGCTTTGGGTCTTTGGTCCCGCCTCTCAACTGTCAATCAACTGGTGTCCAAGTTCCTGAGCCTACTGGGTTCCATCATATCTACATTTGAAACTGTATGGAGTCAGCCTCCACCACATCACTGCCTAATGCATTCCATCCTGGTGTGGTGTGTCGTGGTGTGTGTCTTTCTCTGTTTGTGTGCGCGTGCGGAGCTCAAAACTGAGCCTTATCGACAAAAGCAAACTTAGAGTGTTTGTTTATGAATCTCATGGTTCTATCAGGTTTGTCAACTGCACAAAGTCAGTCACTTCGACGCCTCGTTCCTCTTGAAGTCGATCCTCTCCCCTAAGGACAATATTAAGAGTTTGTTCGTCGCCCACCGCCGCCTCGCTAAGAGAAACGCCTCAGAGTCACTTTGTTCTTCAGTTCGCATGTTTCTCTTTGTCGGAGTTGGCGGCATTAGCATGGGCGTGTCTTTGATGGCCAACTTGCTTTCCCAGGATTCATCTGTGGCGTTTCCCACTCTTGGGAACTGTTTGATGAGTAAATGTAATAACGTTACAAGATGATTTTATTCACTTGGTTTTAATGTTTTGTCGATATATTTATGATATTTCCTGTAAACACACAACGTAACTGTGCTCATTTTCCGCTTGTTGCAACTTTTAACAACTTTATTACAAGTCTCTATGTTTTCGTTGTAACGACTTGTTCGGTGTTAAAACTTGCTCGAACGTTGCAGCACCGTTGTAGTTTCGTCGTGGGTTAGGCGGGTTGACAGTGTCTGGAATATTCAGAGGCCGTGTTTGGTTAGTTAGGTCTCACCTGAAGAGCGGTGAAGCAACAGCCACAGTTAGAAGCTTACATCCTGTGTGCGCGAGGAACTCCACGAACACAAACCTAAACTATTTTCCGCTTGTTACAACTTGTAATAAAGTTGTTACATCTTGGTTTAACGTGTTTATGACGTATTAGAACGTTGTTACAACTTGCTATATTGGTTGTTATAACTGGTTAGATGTTAAAACTTGTACCAACGTCGTAGTTTCGGTGTGTGTTTGGCGGGCTGTTCTCAATGATGGCAGGGCTCGCCTAAACCAGCACACACGCACAATGTAACCAGAACGTTGTAATAACGTTTTTACCTTATGGCAACGTACACTGACGTCGTGGTTACGTTGTATGTTGGTTGGGATTAACACCAAAAGTCTATTCCACTGCCGCAGACAACATTTAGAGAACATATGTTTGATTTCATCGCCAGAGAAGGGCTCCCTGTAATATACTTCACAACAGTATTCATGCCTTGCTAACACACCGGAAAATAATGAAGCTACATATTACATCAATAATACAGTCATGCATACATGATATAGTAGTCACGCATACATGATATAGTAGTCACGCATACATGATATAGTAGTCATGTATTCATGACTACTATATCTTAACAGAATGTCATGTTTAGCACCCGCCCCCCACACACCGAAACTACGACGTTGGTACAACGTTCGAACAAGTTTTAACACCACCTAACCAGTTATAACAACCAATATAGCAAGTTGTAACAACGTTCTAACACGTCATAAACACGTTAAGCCAAGATGTAACAACTTTATTACAAGTTGTAACAAGCGGAAGAGAGAGAGTTTCGGTTTGTGTTTCCAGGACAGCGACCTGACCTGACGTGACGTGACGTGACGTGACGTGACGTGACCTGACCTGAGGCACCAAACCATCAATATACCAAATAATCCTGTGATGCAATTTATAACATTAAGCATCAGCCACAGAACAGGCACTATCATCTAGCTCGTATATCAAGCTATGGCGAGACCCAACTGGGGCTCTACTATGCAGCTCTGGCAGCCGTTCTACAGAATTTAGAGTTAAGACAACCCAGAGAAGGATACCTTGAGGTGCTTCCAGGGCTTAGCGTCCCCGCGGCCCGGTCGTCGACCAGGCCTGGATGGATGTTAGTTAAGGATGAAAAAGCTTTAACTCGGGTGTCAAGGAGGACCTTTCCGACGAAGATATGAAATGATAATCATCTGAAATCAGAAATATTACAGGAACAACCGTGGACATCTTCAAGAGGAAACTAGATTATTTCCTCCAAGGAGTGCCGGACCAACCGGGCTGTGGTGGGTATGTGGGCCTGCGGGCCGCTCCAAGCAACAGCCTGGTGGACCAAACACAAGTCAAGCCTGGCCTCGGGCCGGGCTTGGGCAGTAGAAGAACTCCCAGAACCCCATCAACCAGGTATATGTGGGCCTGCGGGCCGCTCCAAGCAACAGCCTGGTGGACCAAACTCTCACAAGTCAAGCCTGGCCTCGGGCCGGACTTGGGGAGTAGAACAACTCCCAGAACCCCATCAACCAGGTATCTGCACTTTAACGAAACGCACGGCAAGTGTGCATTTGTCTTAGACTTTTCTAAGTGGGTTAGGCGTATACGCAAGGAGGCCACACACACCTGGGGCCAGATCCACGAAGCAGTTACGCAAGTACTTACGAACGTGTACATCTTTCCTCAATCTTTGAAGGCTTTGGTTACATTTACTAAACAGTTTACAAGCATGAAAACTTGCCAATCAACTTTGTTACTGTTATAAACAGCCT